TCCTGTACCGGCAGGGAACGTCCCTCCAGGACTCCCAGGCTCACCCGAGCCCAGGCTTGCCCAGACTGTGAGAGTCTTCCAGACTCCAGATTTTAGGAAATGTAGAACGAAAGGAAGGATCCAGTTTAGATCTCAAAACCCAGTTATATTGAACTAAGGCCACTTTGTTTCTACCTCAGTAGCTTGTTTTATTTTGTGCAGGTGTGTGCACACACACACACAAAAGAAGGGACAATGGACCACCAAGGCCGAGGTCCATTGACAAAGGACCCCCTATTGATCCGCTACCTAATAAGATGAGCCAAGGTGTGAAAATGGGTGTAGGTCACAATCAGGCTCCAGGTGAGCTCATTGTGAAACCTAGTCCGCTGTTCCTCTTGGGGGAAACTCCCACTGGGCTTAAATCTGGGACTCTCCACCATTTGACCCTAGAACTTAAGAAGCTTCTCGGATGAGAGGTGAAACATTTTCAAGCAACTTAAAGAAGTCCAGATGCTTTTCTTTAAAAGCTCCTTAGACTACAATGAGCTGGATGACTGAGAACCTTTACAGACATAAGTAGGTAGATATAACACATCCTTATTGCTGATTTGAACGTGCATGTTTAAACATTCTGATTTATAGACATCAGATTCAGATGTGTAAATAGCAAAACAAGTAACCACCAAATGGGTTCATAACTAGCTCTATAACCCTTGTAAACACGTCTTTGCGATACAATTACATTAACATTTTCTTCTGCACTTTACACACTGTTAAAATAAATACAGCTTCCATTAACAGTTACTATTAGTGGTAAAAATCTTATCACCAATGAAGTTTGTTTTGTATGATCTGTTTCCTCAAAGTCACTAGACAGTCTCTAATCTGTACACACTTTCACTGTGTGTTGTAACATATGAATTAAGGCATGTTGCATCACTTGTTGTTTCTTTTCAGTTGTATCTCTCGGTGCTGTCCACTGATTTTATTGAGCTAACTAAACAGCAAATGGCTGTCATTTCTATTGTCAAAACAAATATATAACCTACACATCTGAGTCTAAAATAGAAGGTTGGAAAGAAGATACAGAAGTCCCCTTTAAGTCTTCGTCATCACCTGATTGCTATTTCAGTACTTCCCCCTCAGTATTTATGTAGAAAGATTAGCTGTGGCTAGAAACCACAAAGTAGAAACTGCAAAACACTCACTGAAGATAAGATACTGTTATCACTTTGAAACACAAATACAGACACTCACTTATTTTCTCTTTGAGCCTCGTTTTGACTGAGGTGTTTATTTTTGTCATGAAACAGGCAGGTAGGTAGGAGGAAAGACCTAAATGCAGAACTCAAAACACGTGGATGAACTGAAGGAGGCTGTTTTATTGCACAGATTACACAAAAAGCACTTACAAAACCAAACCAAAATCTAGAAACTGGAAACTAATACCAAAACACTGGGAAACTACGGATGGCGATTTTAGGGAGCACAACAGAAGAAATCCACACAGCATGAGTCTGTGAAGGTTCTCAGTCATCCAGGTCATTGTAGATCAAGGAGCTTGGAAAGAAAAGCGTCTGGACTTCTTTAAGTTGCTTTAAGACGTTTCACCTCTCATCC